CACTGTGTGAGGCCTCTGAAAAGAAAACTTGGTATTACCACATGGTCTGCCGCTTGCAGCTATCTCTGTTTTTTTATCTGATCTGAAAAGTCTCTTTTGACTCCCTTGTTGCAGAGTGGCCATCGTCACAGTGAGAATATGAGAAGGAAAAGGAAAACAACCCGGAGCCAAGGTACACATCCACCCTGTGTGCGATGTGTGTGAGCGAAAACATGGACCATTTGTCCTTTTCAACAGCTGCAACGTCTCCCAAAAAGCTTTTTACATTTTCCTGGAACCAGGCATCTCCAAATAAATACTAGTTATGTGAGACTGTGACAGCACGACAGGATCAGGTAATATCAGAGAGCGAAAAGACCCGCCGAGGAGCCTGATGGAGAACAGGGAGGGGGGGTCTGACAGAGGGGGTGACCAACAGGATTGGTGAGGGAAGTGGTTTTTGCTGATAAAGAAAGGGAAAGGGTCGATTGTCCCCACCACTCGAGCGATAGTGGTGGATGCCATTAAGATAAGGAGGATTAGACCTGCCACATCGCTGTCCTAGCTGCTACAACCTGAGGGACAGATGGAGAGTAAAAGACCCCATCCAGGGGGGTTTGCTGTCACTTTGCCTTTCAGTGACCAAAGGGACCGATTCCTGTGCAGTTGATGATTAAATAGGACGTTGTTAAGATTAAGCAATCAAAGCAGCATTTGTCACCGCAGAGCAAAATTGTTAAAAACTGGAAAAACAGACAACCAAAAAATTTTCATCAGTGTTGAAATAAATATTCAAATCTTTCACTTACTTAAGTAATAGTAGCAATACCACAATGTAACAATACTGCGGGACATTTAATAAAGTACTCAGAAGTGCTCAATGCGGCCCCTATGAGAGTTAAAGTATTACATATTGTACAATGTGATTATCATTACTAATGCTTGTGTAAGAAACATTTTACTGTTGTCGGTTGAGGTGGAGCAAATTTTAACTGCTGCATAAACTGTTGGGTGACGTACTCTATAACGATTCTTCAGATTGGATGAGCTCCTCATGTGCTTTGTATGAAGAGTTTTATAGCTGTTAAATAAATGTAGTTGAGAATAAACATATAGTCAAATTATCATCTCTTTGACAGTGTCAATCAAAACTGAATTATTTTTGTTTGTAAAGGTAGAATTTATGGCTAAGCTGTTAGATTTTAGAAGTGTGCTGTACCTTATAAAGTGGCCACTGAGTGTGAAATTCAAGTGATGAATGTGTATTCAGACTGAAGATGATGAAACTTATTCTGGGTTCATAAACTGTTTATTGAGAAAGTTTTAATAGCAGTGCTGTCTGTTCCAACGCTGCTCCCACTGTTTTTGTTATTATTTTCAGATTATTTCTGTACAGTTTTACATCTGTCTGACAATAATTTAAGGGAAAAAACGGTTTGTTCTTGTTAGTATCTCTGCAGATAATATCCACAGAGACCAAGGGAAAGGGGTTCTTAAAAAACTGAAATCAGGGTTGGAATGCTCCATCTACATTGTTTTTTTTATATTGCTGCAACAACACCAAGTTAATTTAGAGTAAGCCCAACACATATACCCATAACAAACATGTACAGAAAGAAAAAGTGACACTAATACACACTTAACATTTTATGTATAGCAGACCCCTGCTTAAGTAGATTACTCTTTCTTTTTTAAAAGGCCAGTTTTTTTACTTCTTTTAGAGAGAATTATGCTCGGCAACGGTCAGGTTTTGCCTGAGTAAGAGTGAGTAGTGAAGACGACAGTAAAAATGTCCACACTGGCCCCAGCAATCATGCTGTGGTCACTCGTATATCAGCATATTACACCTGGAAACGGTGATCTAATGGACACTGATTTATGGGACAAGGACAGAAACCACAAGGTTTGCTTCAGGTTCTGTACCTCCGAGTTAGTCAGCAGTGGGACCTCATACTGGGGCTTTTATGTCAGGGCTGTGCTTAATGACCTGTGTGCTTCTCTGAGGCCTATTAAACACATGCAGTAAATCAACAGAGGAGGGATATACCAGTTAATCACAGCCTTTTGTTTCAGGGCTGAGGAAAGACAATGAATCTAACTGAACGGCGCGGAGCTGACAGAGAGTGTGTAAGAACAACTAACACTGTCATGTCAAATAGACGGACTGCCTCAGCAGCCATATGTGTCAAACAACAATCAATGCAGCTATTTCATCCAGTCTCCACTGCTGTCAGCAAACCATTCCCATAAAACCAAGACTATAGCATTGTTAGTATTTGTAAGAGAGGACAAATGTCAGATAGTATCACCTCATCACAAAGTCACAATAAAAAAGCTCCCCGCTTGAAAATGGCAAGGCTTTAAGCATTGCAATTAAAAACTCAAATGTTCTGGGCTGGTTAAGCTCATGCTGACTGCTGGTCTAATCCGACTGTATTTAACATGGGACATAATTAACAGGGAGAGGGGAATGTAAAGCAGTGATTACTACTATTGTCAAGCTGCAAGCTCAAAAATAGAGATTTCGGGAAAAAACAAGAAACAGTAGAAATAAAAAACTATATTCTGATTAATGAATCTGGCTCCAAACAACATTTTATATCCAGGTCTTATGTTGGAACCAAAGAAAAGAAGATTACTATTTGGTTTCATATTATGCAATCTGTAATTTGATATAATTTTTAGTTATGATGTTGTTTTTTTAACCAAAATGTATAAACCGTCACCCACCAACACCAACAACCTTCTCCCATCTTTACTCTGAGAGTTTCCAAGCACACATCACATGTTCTGCCACAGGCTTTTAGCAAAGTTGAGCAGCCTTCATCATCAAATACGTACAGTAGCATTCATCAACAATAGCCTAATTAAAAAGCTTTCAAGCTTGTTTTTCAGATCCACTAATCACAGAGACAGTACGGTATTTGTTTATGGCCTGTGAGAACAAACATACACTGCCTTACAGCAATAAATCTCCAATAATCGAATTTGAGCTTCCCTACTTAAACATAATTAGACTTACTCTGGCAAAGCTGAGGATATTGTCTGCACTCAAGTATATAACGTGCAATATCCAGATTAAAAACTGCAGCAAAATAAAGATTTGATGTTTTCAAACATCTTGTTTGAAGTTAGGTAATGATCATGCCAAAATGAAACAAAGCAACGCATTAGCTGACAATGCTGAAACAGAGCAGGAAGCACAAACACTGCTGGCAAAAAGCAAAAAGGTTGTAACTCCTGGAAATGTGAGAAAAATCTTACGAGCACAGCATCATTCTGAGAAGAAAGAAGGGGGGCAACCAAGCAACCAAGCCTTTAAAAGCACTGATGTTCATTTACTCTGAATGAAAGCTCAAATTAGTAGAAATACATTAGTCAGAGCAGATGCTCTTCTGTAAACAGGGACTAAGATAAAGCAGCTTTCTTTCAGCATATTCTGAAGCATAGATTTTACTTTAATTTCATGGCTCTTTGCAGCAGTCACATGGGCAGATGTATGAGCCTCCTGTTTTGTTGTGTACCTAGCTATGACTTCATTGTTCAGAGGGACAGAAAGAAGAAACACTTTTATGCCTGATTACACGTTCTCTCTTGGCCTTTTACTATTTCCTTGAGTAAGAAGTACATCTCCATACTTCCTTGCAGAAATAACATGTAGACCTTAACCAGTCACTGCAGATGCATGCTTTACCTGAGGAGATGAATAAGTCCAAATCATGAAGAGTGAGGCATATGATGCACACTATATTTAAAATCTATACTGCTACAGTTTTGAGTATTTACATTTATTATGGAACCTTTTGTTAGCTACAGGAAAATCAAATGCTGCAAAATGATGATCCTTTTTAGGCAAAATAGAAAGTTTTTGATTGATATATTCAAGATATTGTAGGTGTAATATATAAGAAAATCGCTAAAACCTCTAAAAAGAGCAATATTTTGGTTATTTTGAGTATTTTTACCCATCTACCTGAATATTTGCTCAAATTATAAACATTAAAGGAGTGTAATTAACCTGTCACTGTCTGTGACCTCGTTCACATTCAAGGATATCAGGATATCCTTGAAATGAATTATATTGCACATATAATGCAGAATACTTGAGAGAGAAACCATCCTCTCTGCTAAATAAAATCTATGAATAAATTATTAACTCAGTTGCAAACCTTGACTCCCCGCTGTGTTGCACTCCATCACTCATGGTGTTGTTAAATGACTGCAAGCTTCTTCAATTATCTTAAAAGCATGTTCTATTTTGGGTTTGATCCACTAAATGTGTTTATTTTTTGGGCAGCAACAGCACCTGAGCAACTGGGTGTCTACGAGCATCAGCCAAACACACTGTGACCCTCACTTTCTTTTTATTATCAGCTAATTAGTGTGGTTAATCAGGCTGATAATGAGCCCGGGCGCCATGCCATTTCAATCTGACACCAGGACAGGGTTCAGGTCCCCACCAGGCACACTGTGAGCATCTGAGATCTCCCTGAAGACCAGTCTCTCCTGGACACAAGAGGAGGAGGAGGAGGAGGAGGAGAGGGATGACAAGGGCAACAGTAATGAGTGGTGTTTGTTAGGATGATAACATGAAGGAATAAATCCACACTTTTATGGCTGCAGGGATGATAAAAAAATGTCTGAAAGAGGTTTAGAAACTCTGTGTTACTAGATTACATGTCTGCTGAGCGCTTTAAGAACGCGTTTGTCTTATCTCTCTGCAAGCTTTCCAGATTTTTCTACCCTTTCCGCTCAGCAGCTGGGGACACTCCACAGTGAGAAAAAGGAATTGATGCTCACTAACACATCCTGTGGCCCCTCAGACAGACACATATCATAACCCACCTCAACCCCTCATAACACACACATCTCTGACATTTTTGTCTTATCACAGCACTGTAATCGAAAACAATCCAGTGCTATCACCTCCCATCTGCCTCCTCTCTCCCTCTCCCTCCATCCCTCCCTCCGTCTCTTGCTCTCACTCTCTCTCTGCTGCCTCACTCATTCCCCGAGCAGCACACTGAACTGGATAACGTCTCCTTCAACCCGCAGCACAGACTCATTTCTCTCCACACCAGCTCTGAGTGGATGCTCAGCAGGGGTGTTTGAGATATTAGCCCGCTGTGGGGGAACGGCTCAGGGACCTCTAACATCCACATACGAAGGTAAGCCTCTGGATCCTTTAGACTAGATTCCTGTTTGCTGTCAAGTACCAAAGTGGAGGTGGTTAAAGTTAAAGCCAACTGAAACTGCAGCCTTTAGGCATCGCTCATGTAAGATTCTCAGCAGTCCCAGGACAGATTTGTAAAAGTACACACACTTCATGGAGACGTTTTGTGGTGTTTGGACATTTCTACATGTAGAAAATGAATGCTGCTGGTGTTATTGTAGACTTGAAGGCATATGGTCAGTGGCTAAGCGAATAACTCTGAAATAGAGAGAAAGTGCAGATTGCTGGCAGGCTGACCTGTGAGGTAATCCTTGTTTTGTTTGGAGCTGTAAGTTTAGAGGAGAACAGTACCAGCCACTGAACACAGCCGTGCGTAATCTTAATGTTCTTAAAGTAAAAACATTTAGTACAGATTAGTTTCACTTTCAGAAAACAGGTTTTAGTTTTGACACAGTGAACCTTTGACCTGTTAGATTACACCACGTCACTGGTATGTTAACACTGTTTCATGCATCATATAATATGCTTACTTACTTATTTACGTCAAAGCTGCTGGAGACATATTCAGAAAATTATTACATGAGGTCACTCACTCGCTCAACACTGAATCCTCGAGCTGAATCATCAGTGTCACTGACTGGATCAGTGGCTTTTTGCATTGATGCTTCTGTCACTGAAGACTTAGAGTGAGTTTTTTTGTAGAAATCTGCCCTTTACCTGCTCCTCCTTACCTGTTTATATACAATAATATGCGAAGAAATCAAAAGCTATATTTCCTGCGTTCTCACTACGGCTACAACTAATGACTATTTTCATTATCGATTAATCCGTCCATCATTTTCCTGATTAATCGATAAGTTGTTTGGTCCTTAAAATGTGAGAAAATGGTGAATAATGTTAATCACTGTTTTCCTAAAAGCCTCAAAAGTATTTTCCCATAAGCCAAAGATATTCAGTTCACAATTAATTGATTATCAAAACAGTTGGCGATTACTATAATAGTTGACAACTAAATGATTATTCGACTAAGCGTTCCAGCTATAGTTCTCAAGTTAGGACAGAGTCGGTCAAAAAAGGTTTTAAATATGCTGCCCCTTTCTCCTGGAACACAAAAGGACCTTAATTGTCAGAGCTGATTGCTGCGCCACACAGTGGTCCTGGAGCATAAAGCTGGAGAATGTAGCACATTTTCTCTGTCAATGCAGTTTCTTATACCGTTGCGGGCAGCCTGTCTTTGTTGATAAAAATGCAAATACACTCTTGGTGTTGACTGCTACCCTGCGCTCACAGCAATAAAAAGTTGTGAAATGTTTTTTGACCCTTGGTTTTTTCTCTTAGGCTAAGAAGAGGCTATCTAAACCATCTGGTTGGTGGACCTCTGCAACCTCCAAACATTATACTAAAGTGCCACTAATATTTTATTTTTAAACATGTTTTAAGGGAAGGAATATGTGTACATATGTTGATAACAATGTATAATAGGTCTGTTTTTTTTTCATGAAATCAAGTCAAAGCAGAATTTGTTTAAATTAACAATGAAACATAACCCTAAACTACTGTGAAGAATTAATTCATTCATTTGCAATGTCTCCGCTGCTTCCAGTCAATGTTATTGTAAATCAATTACATTTGACAAAGTCAGCAAACAGCCTTGCCTTCATCCACAATTTGTCCATCCATGTTGTTAAATCCAAAATATTTCCTCATATTACTTCTTGGGGTTTGGTGTCTTGACTATCCGCTCCCGCATCTCACATCTTTTACTAGTAACTATTTATTTACCACATTCGTACAGTAGCCCTAATGTGTAATTAAACCTTCAAATATAATTATATAAAGTTAATAATATAAAATAATAAACTTTATTTATATAGCATGTTTCAAAACAAAGTTACAGTGCTTTACAAAAAAGTAAAAATATAAAAGAATGATAGAGCACCATCAGGTAGAAGGGCAGTCGAGGACTGTGCTAATGAAACAGGAGTTGATTCATATGTAATTCTTTCTATTCTGTATTTAGGTCTTGGTTGGTGCAGTAACAAAACAGAAATTAACACATCACTTTAATTTAATTTCTAATACTGCCAATATTATGACATATGAGATGAGATATCATGAAAAGAAGACGAATGTCATCATAACAGTACAAATAAGTACAAGAAATAACATTAACATTAACATGCTTCATGCTCTTATTTTTGACATCCTGCTTGATGGTTTCAGTGTTGGTCATTTTGGTCAACAGCTGCTTTATACAGCTGCTCCATACACACATTCAGCCAGATTCCGATTAGTTTCACCTTAATAATAATTCTAATGTGTCTAAAAGTCTGATCTGTTAAAAATGCTTAATGCTGTTTGCTGATAAAGTGTGCAAACAAAATGCAAATCTAATGTCATTTGCCAAGGCCTGGTGAGTCTGATTTATTGGTCTGATTATAAAAAAAAGCCATTTCACCAGAGCTTAGAATATGAAGAGATAATTTTTTTATCCTTATTGATCAGTTTTGTCATTTTGCTGTATTGAAAAGCTGTTTAGTTAATAGACATGGGGTTTGTGGCTGTTTATAAATACAGTTAGAATGCATGTTACTGTAGATAGTCAAGAAAATGGCTCAATTCTGCCTGTATCCGACTGTAAACAGGGAGAAATTAAACCGAAATGCAGCACAGCCATCTGAGGGCATAAAGATGTAAATAACTCTTCCTATTGGACAACAGATCTTGTACTGCAGTAGAGTGCGCATTGCATTATTGCAGTTTACCATAAAGTGAGGCCTGTCTTTAATGCAGTATTATAACAGGATTTTGCCTCAGAGACAGTTTCTGTTTAGTCTGATGCTAAGGATGTCACTGCAGCTCTAACAAGCCCCTGCCTGCTCTTCATCATTTTAGTGCCAGATATGTGCCCATGAGTATTCATCAGGAAGGGCTAATGGGGCGCAGCAGTGTGAACCTCTGATTTACAGCCCGTCCCCTGTCAGGCCTAATGATAGGGCAATGGGGCTGGTTATGGAGAAACAGGTGCTGCAGAGTGAATAGATGCGCAGCAATGCCGCTGAAAGCCACGGGTGATTGTCGTTTTGTCCCCTGCACAAATGCTCGTTTGCAATATTGTGTTCACACATACATAATTATTTTGCATAGAAATTAGCTCCCTTTCTTATGGCTAGATGTCTGCCGTGTGTGTGCATGTGCATGTGCATGTGTGGGGTTTATGGTGGGTAGAGGGTAGCTATTTCAAACAACAATAGTCAGTAGAGGTAAGTTTAATGGTTAATTTACTGCTTTCCAAACTGTTTCCAGCCTAAAAGTCACATTTAATATACACAACAACTCTCTGTCCAAGATTATATTAACAACAGATGGAGCTTAATGGTAAAATGAGAAATAATGTCCTAAATGAACTCATACACTGAACAAACTGTACCAAATATGGTCAGGTCATTAAAACAGGTGGGCTGAGCCCTGGAGAAACATTATTATTGTAGTAAACTAATCAGTTTAACAACCTAAGGCATGATGTGGCATTAGAGCTGGGCTTTATGGTCAAAGCTAAATATAACTGGGACAGCTTTTTCTGAATTCAGACTATGACATCTGTTCCGATGCAGAATGGAAAAATGTCTTGTTGAGTAGTGTTGCAGCACTGCTTGATAATGTTAAAACCATGCTGTTAACTTAAGTAATAAAATTGTGTCCCAGTACACACACATATATATACATACAAACAGCTACCAAATTACCTCTATAAAATGGACAATATATTGCATGCAATGATACTGCCTTACAGCACAAGTCTCCTTGCAATTAAAAAGGTAAATAAGTAGAGACACTCACTACATTGAGCTCAAAGATCAGAGGTACTGTACTGTTTCAAGCCCATTTCAGTCCCTCCAGGAAGTTGCTGTGATCGCAACAATTAGTGCAACTTCAACCATTACCTGTGAATTCTGTGCGACCTTACAATTTTGTCCTGTCACCACATCTTTTTCACAAATTTGACTAATCATTGTAGTTTCCTGCGCAAAACTTTGAGCCATAAGTCACCAAACTCACTTCCTTATTTTAGTGCTTTTAAAGCTGCAGTAGGTCATTTTTATAAAAATAACTTTTTGTCACATTTGCACTATATCCTGACAGATACAGATAATCTGTAAAAAAACAAAAAACAAAACAAACAAAAAAAACCTCTGGCTCCTCTTAGTGGCATTTGCAAGAATTCACCATGCCTGAACGAAAAAAATCAGAGCAAAGAAAGATAATTATTTGTTGAGTCTCATTCACAGGTCGTCAAATACCGATGCTGGGAATGAGA